GTGATTTAAATTAATATACCAAGTTTTAAATATCTGTAAAAACATATTACAAAATAACAGAGCATATGGTACGATTTAAAGTAATATTTCTGAAATTGTTTCCTATTGCAGTTTAAAGCCGCACTGTGTAGCTTTCCCGGTAAAGGGTCTGCTACATGCTTGTCTCTATGAACATGTTATTTTTTTGCCTGGAATGTTCCACAGTAGGGCATTAATCATATCTCCATTGCATTGGTTTAATTACAGGTGTTTCATAGTAGTGGAGCTGTTAAGGACCAAAATAGTTCGCTTTTATGGTACAAGCATGAAACTTTGTCAGATTACTAACACCCCCAGGACTAATATGTCTGGATATGGAACCAAGTCTAATTCAACACTGGAGCTGAGAACTGCACATGTCACAAAATGATCTACCAGACCAGACAAGACCCACGGTATAGACTGTGCAAAGAGGTTCCTGAGACAGTCCAGCACAGAACTGCAGGGTGTAAGATGCTGCAGGGAAAGCAAACATGGAGCGACAGAACCAAGTGGGCATAGTGTACGGAAATATCTGTGCAGAGTACAGGCTGCAGACCCCAGGATCAAGGTGGGAAACACCTTCAAAGGTTGCAGAGAATGACCGAGCCAAGATCCTGTGGGACTTCCAGATACTTCCAGAGCAGAGCCGTGGTGGTGGACATCACAATACCAAGAGATGGTAATATCTGGAAAAAAGAACACAAGAAACTAGAGAAATACCAGGGGCTTAAGGAAGAACTGGAGATGGTCTGGAAGGTGAAGGCATCAGTGGGGCCTGTGGTGATCAGAGCACTCGGGGCTGTAACCCCCAAACTGGTAGAGGCTACAGCAGATACCAGGAAAAACAACAAACATCTCAGACCAGAAAAGTGCAGTACAGGAACAGCAAAGACCTAGATGGAGAGTCCTTCAAATGCTTTTATCCATGGAGATGCTATTGCTGACAAAGCCCTTGTTATTGTTATTTATAGGTAGTACATTTGACCATGACCATTCACTTCCATTTTCTACAATGAAGCTCTTCATGTGCATTGTCCAGATGTACTTGTTACAATCTTAAAAGCATTCTTTTATATACTTCTTTTCACTGTACCCAACTCTGCATTGTGAGATGATTTTATTTTGCTGGTACTCACTACTACTAGCTAAAATCATTTAAGAGTAAAAAAAATTTTTAGTTTGTTTGTTTTTTTGTTTTGGTTGAAAATATACCATATCAATATCCAGACACTGAAGCTCATGTCTGCATTGTCCAGTTGTAGTTCAGTCTTAAATGCTTTCTTTTGATCTCTCTCTATTTCTGCTTTTTCACAATATCTCTCCATTATTCACCACATAGACTCTATCCTTCTAACGGTGCTATAAATAACCAATATAAGATTCCTGCTTATTTCCCAGTACCACTGTAAGAGTCTTGGGTTACTCATATCTGCATAAATGTGTGATAATTGAACATTATTTTACAAAAAAGAAGGTTTAAGCAGTAATTTAGCTTCCAGCCTTGTTTCCATGCCAGCCATTTTGTGACATGCGCAGTGCTTGGCTCCAGGGTCGACTTAGGCTTGGTTCCATATCTAGAAATGTTGGTCCTAGGGATGTTACTAATCTGGCAAAGTTTCATGCTTGTACTATAAAAGTGAACAATTGGGCACTTTTTTGGTCGTTAGCAGTTCGACTATAGCTCAAAAATTCCCTAAAAACACCAATTCTTACCATGGGCAGACTTGCTTCTCCATAGAACTGATCATTAACCTGTCTCCATTGTGATTACCAAGTTTATTTCTATACCATGGAATAATCAAAGAATAACAGTAACTTCTCCATGGAGATAAGCAGGTGGCAGACCCTCGGTCAGAAAAGTTAGACAGTACACCTTTAATGTAGCCATACTAGTCAAGTCATTTAGTAGTTGTTCATTTTGTTTATGCAATCCCTCAGTCATCCAGGTACGTTCCAGTGGAAAAGAAAATTTAATTCCATCAATGGGACAAAAAGTGAAGTTTTAAAGATACAAATTTAGCTGCTTTTACTTGTTTTACATTCATGTGCATCATTTATGTCAAGTATTAAAAAATATTTTTTGGTATATGAAGTGCTTCTTATTGAAAGCAGCCTTCACATGCCAATTAATCCTCATCTCATCCATAACAACAACCACCACCATTGAAACTTATATCCTGTAAACTCATACAACACGATTTATCTTTTTTCCCCCTACGTTATTTTTCCACCTTTTGTGTTTGCAGTCACTCTGACAGGCTCGTGGTAATTGGTGCAGGTGATAAGGCATGTCAGTGGGTCTTTGTTGCTACTGTTGCTTAATTCAACCGCCCGCCTGCTGCTGGTCAATATTAGTTCTGTAGAGAGACAGACTCAAAGGCACATGTTTGTTCACCTCGCTCCACAGAAAATAAACACGCTTCAGACACGCGCTGGAGTCACATAACACTGAGGGCGGACCACAGCCAACAGGTTGAAGCAGATGGTGAGAAAGAAGAGGAGGAGGGGTGAGGGGGCATGGGGGAGTTTATGACTTCCTCAAGTGCAGCTGTGTTTTTGCATCTGACCTTTTTAAATGACGAGAGTTACACCTGACTCATAGCCGGACGACAGACTAGTCTTATGATTTTGATTGTCCTCTTGTGTAAAACATTAACAATAAAAGACTTGTTTTGCATAGGAAGTGCAATATTAGCAGGCTTTATTTTAGCTCAACAAATAACATCTGAGAGAAATACACCTGACTCATAGTCGGACAAGCAATTCAAGTGGGTCTAAGGAATAATGAGATAAAGACAAACTAGTGGTCTTATTTGAACTTAGGAGACCCTGTGAGATGAGCAGGGATGTTAAGTACAAAAATACCAAAATATATCTAGAATATTTTCTTCTGTGTTGAAGCACATTGGCCATTATTGTAATTATCTGAAATATATATTACTTTACTTTGTTGACGTCTGACAGCTAATTTCCCAGCCATAGAAAGAATAAAACCTAAATTTATAAAAAAAAATTACTTCATAATGGTACTACTTTTGTGGTTAAGGAGTTAAAAAAAATGCTTTACTGTTCTTTCAGAATTTCAATGTTGTGTTTACTGCACAATAAAAACTGTGTAAAGTTTTTTTTAAAAGCTTTATGTGTGTGTTCACTTTTTGTTAACGATACTATTATTGAACATGCTTTAAAGCTAGAACTGGCTTTAAACTTTACAACATAAACTGTTTAAATTTATTCATGAATTGTTAAGCAACAATTGTGCACCTTTGTGGGATGATTTCACATTGTAAATGGACAGGAACAGTGTATCATATATTCATTTTTCTTTTTAACCTCTTTTGTGGACAAATCAAATTAAGTAGTAGCAGAAATGAAATGTTTGCCGATTAAAAAAAAAAAAAAAAAAAAGATTGATTGATTGATTTACTTTTATCTAAGAAAGTCATAAAAATGTAGGGTTATAGTTAGTGTGAGAAGAAATATCACAGTTTTACAATTATTCTCAATTACTGACACCAAGACCTCATGTTCATTCACATTGTCTAATAAATTACCATACTCTAGTACGTGACCAGCTTTGTAAAATTGAACTTTCTGAATGAAAACATCAATTTAATGTGACCTAAGCAGATTAAGAAAAACAACAGTTTACATTTAAGTTAACTTTTGGGTTATATTTTAAAGTAGATGACTTTATTTCTACTTCTAAATGTGTCATGATTATATATTTTTAAAATTCTTATAATTATATTGTGACTTGAATAATCAAGATTTTTAATTAACTGAATAATGTTGACATTCTTACTTGTGACATGTGTGATGGTAGGGCTGTGAAGTTAATTGTTGTAGAATTGATTTTAATTGAATTTTCAATGTTAATGGACATCGTGAAGGCTAACATTTTTGAAGTACTATAATATATATATATATATACAGTATATATATAAAAAAAATAAAATATATATATATATATATATATATATATATATATATATATATATATATAATATATACCTGCATATATCTGTACATATTATTACCTACCATATTATTATCTGTACAATTATTACCTGAAATATAATCTTGGATTGGTGTTCATACATCAACCTTTTTATCTCTTCTAGCCACTTTAAAAATATTGAATTTTAAGAGGAATTCTATTAAAACATAAATCACAAATCTAATCCTAATACTTGTCATAAAAATTACAATCACAAATCGTTCAGCCCTGCTAGTGAAAGTGTACCAGGAGTGGTCAACAGAGCAGAGTTCAACAAAACAACTTTTATGACATCATGAAACAGTAGGAGGCAGGACAGACTGAGTAATCAAATGATTTACTTTGTGTTTCTGTCGGACTGAACTTTCTTAACAGTCTGTGCATGTGTTTTATATACAGAGTCTTTTTCAGCTGCTCTCATCTCATTTGCATTGGCCTGCCTCTAGAACCATCTCTTTTCAGGCTTGAGATCGGCACTACATGTGGCAGTTTATTTATAGATTGTTATTCATGGTGTTGATGTCATCCATTAAACCCATAATGTAATGTTTTAACCAAAAAGTGGACAAAAAAACACTGAAAATGATGCATCCTTATTGTGTGTGGCTTGTATCACCACAAACCTATTTTTTCAGGAGAAAGCTCTCTTGCTTTTCTTCATAAAAATGCTGCTCTGTTGGCTATAATATTCCAAAGTATGACACAAAACAGTTGGCCACTGTTACTTAAAGGAGTAAGAAAAGTTTCAAATGCTGCCATAGTTTTAAATTTCAGCTACAGTATTTTAACAAAGTTTGGAGTGATTTGCTTTGCCTGTTAGTTAATGGAAAACATTTGTTGAAAGGAAGTCACAACAGAAGCCAAATAATTTAGACTTTTTTACATGAACTCGCTGAAGGAAACAACCACTGTTCAACACGGTTAGTCAAAGTGCTTCAAAATCACCCATGTGCCTTTCTTCACCTGTTTGTTCCTACAGCGCAGTGTAAATGAAACGCCTGGCCCTGCATTAATGAGTGGAGACCCTGTACACAGCGAGCGATCAAAGACAACGTCCACAACGTCCACACAAGAAACAGCCCTGAATGATTTTGCGTGTGAGTGTCTGAATCCTAGATGAGGATTTATGGCGGGCGGGGGCGGCGCGGTGCCCCTGTTACTGCTCATATCCTGTTTGCTTTGGACTCGCCAGCACGACAAGGTAGCGGCTGACTGCCTTTAGATTGTTTGTCATTTGGCATTTGAAGTGGAACTAACAAGCCTATAAAACGGTAACGAGAGAAAAAAAAGAAAATCAGGGGGAGGGTGCACATTGGGAAACATTGGTGGGGGCTTGAAGAAGGGTTGAGGAGAAATGTAGAGATGCAAGTAATAAAAGAAGTGGAGAGATTCTCGTGAAATTCTGTACGATTTGGTGACAATATATGGTTATCTCGAACTTGAATAAGCATAGGTCCCCTCCACACACAATCATAGTTGTTATACCCAATTCTGTCAGAGTTTGAAGTTACAAGATACGTTTTTTACACACATCCACCAGGGTCTGTATAAGAACGTGGTCTGATCTTATCCAACATAATCAAATCATATTTCGTTCCAAATGTTACCTGTCAGCTCCACTTTAGCTTAAATAAATCACTGGCTATTGCAAAAATTAAATAATTACCTTTTTTAATATTATAACCAGTTATAAAGTTTATTGAGGGAAAACTCTGTACTGACTACATATACCCCATTTTCTCTTACTGCAGTCCCATTTTATAAGTCCAGTGACACAGCGCCACATTTGTGCCGTTGTTAGCGTAATCTGATAAAAGCTGACTTTGTTTCTAAATAGGAGTATTTAATAACCCATTTACAATAACTAACCAGCATTATTTTACAGTGAAAAACAAGAAACCATGTAGTTGGCATATCCCTGCTCATTCCTTAGTTGGGTTAACAGAAGCCAATGGTACAAATCGCCTCTACCATTTCCAAATACATGGCATTTGCATCGTTGGGCATTTTTATGTATGAATGTGATTGTGTGTCAGATAAAAATAAATAAATATTCAGATCTCAAGGTATAATATATTCTAGTATTTATAATATTTAACTCACAATAATGTATTATGTTGTGGGAATTCTTTGTTGTTGTTGTTTGTTATTGATAAGAGTTAAAATGACATTCTTCAGTTTCAGATTTCAGTTTATTTCGTTTTATTCAGATATTTTCACAAAGTAATGCCTTTATGTTGGCTGCACTAAGATGTGGCTAGGAACCCTAGTCTGTGTATTTTAATCTCCTTTTTAGTTGGCTGCTGCATTAAAGCGATGCATTTAGACACTAGAGCTTGCGATTCTGTTTACTGCAATACCCTCATAGATTCCTGCAAGACTTTTAGATCTTGTGAAATCAAGGCCATTCTTTTATCATCAGTGGTAGAGTTGGGAAGAGCTAAAGAAGTCAGAAGTAATACTTTATATGTATAGTATGACTAATGCATGCTTATATATTTTAGTCCATCTTCTTTTTCTGATATCAGCCAACACAACAAACCATGAGTCTCCTTGTAGAGTGTACATTATGTAGACTCCTCACAGGTAATGAGACTGCACACTGGGCTCATCCAGGTGTAGACTTTTGCACTGTGGGAAAATCATATGTTACAAATGGATGAGTCAACTATGGAGGTGTGCAGAAGACAAGATATAGATTTAGATCATTTATATGCATGGTTTAGATATAGTTACAAAAATATTAAGCCAAAAATTCAACATAATGTGCTTAAATTGTATTTTTTATTTGTATAGCACTTTTCACAGATAAAAATCACAAAGTTTAAAAATACTGAAATCAAATTAAGTAACAACCCAGTCAGCTAAAAGCGTCTTCAGCTGCATTTTAGAAGAGTTCAATGAATCAACCTCACAAAGGGCCAGAGACAGGGCGTTCCACAGTCTGTGGGCTACAGCCAGGAAGTACATGTCCCCCTGAGCGAGTCTTTAGGACCATGAGAAGGCTCTGGCTGGAAGACTGTAGAGAGCGGCCAGAGGAGTAAGGGCACAGCTGTTCAGCAATGTACGGAGGGCCTGTCTATGCAGCGCTGGGAAAGTGATGACACAAAATTAAAATCAGTTCTACATTTTATTGAGTTCCATGCATCGTAACTATCAGCATAAAGCCAGTGTTTGTTGTCTGTATCTAAATCTGAAAGAACACTTATATAAACCCCCTAATGCATTTCCAAAGACTCACTTTAGTTTGTGCACTTTTTTGACAGAACTATTATAAGAAATATTACTTCTGATATAGAACTTACAAGGATGAATGTGTAAAAGCAGTACATTTTTATTTGTAAAATATTTGAGAACTATTATCAGAACGACATCCAGTACAGGTTCATTTCTCTGGCATGGCATGTTTGGAAGAGGTGTGTCTAGGCGCCCCGAGTAGATTAATTTGTTTCTTTATAGCAAATATAAAAGAAATGACAAAAAGCAAACTTGGTAATGTGCATTCTTATTCAAACAAAGGACATGCCCAGTAACATATTTTGTCTTGCACAATCCCAGTTCTCGAAGAACTTTACACAATTCAGCCTTTAGCAAAAAAAAGAGTGAGTGACGGCTGTCAAAAACTACATTTTTAACTCAAGGTGACCCTTTTGGTTCCATTGCCCCAGACTCTAATATGTTCTGTGATATTTTCTGTAGAAGCAACTGTCAGCAAATGGGGAGGTGATGAATTTGGATAGCATTTTAAGTCATTTTAATGTCGTTTTTAGGAGCAATGTAAAACCCACTTTTTTGCAGATATATTGGTAAAAGTTGTTCCTTGCTGTTCTGATGAAAGACCACTCATGACTTTTAAGTTTAATACTATAACTAACCAAATTTACTGACTTATGACAATGCCACTGCCCTCCAAGCAACAACTGGTGCTCATTAAGTCAGAAATAATGAATATAGGATTTTCCCCTTTCAAATTACTTTATATACCTTTTTAAAGCCAGTGATCTTCTGCGAACAGATTCAACACTAAAGGAGTTCTAAATAATATTGTGAAAGGACTGTTGATAAAATTTAAGCATAGCATGTGTTGTTCTTTTTATACATTTCATATAAATGCATATCAAACTGAATATTTTTGTTGTACCATGTTTAATTGAGTGAAATAAGATTGTTTGATTAATTATTTTATTCAATGAATGCATATCAGGGTCACAGCTGCAGCTCAGCCTGTGCACATTATGAGTGACCTCAGGTGGAACTAAAGGACATCTTAAAGAATAGGACACTTGACCTCAGAGGAATTACCACTAACATGACAAACACTACTAATTCTACTGCTACATTTTTTTTTTTTAACTGACGACAATCCGTCATTTTACTGAAGGAAATGTCTTTTGTATCCTCCCTGAAGTCAATCTGGGCCAGATTGTTCCAACATATCCTGTTGTAAAATGACGGCGTGTTTATATATATATATATATATATATATATATATATATATATATATATATATATATATATATATATATATATATATATATATATATATATATATGCCAAACTGCCATGAGGCCTGAGGAAGGAGCTATGACCTGACATGGAATTTTAGATTTTTTTTTTTAGGTGAAGTTCAGTCATCTTAATATACAGTGATAATTATAAATCATAACTTCAAAATGTTTTTGATGCATTTTTTTTGCCTGTAATTTTTGCATCCCCCCTCTTTAAAGAACGAACAATAAAATAACAAACAATAAAATTGTGTGCTGCAATAGTTTGGAACAGTTTGAACATTACTTTTACAACTAGTTAGTGATTATTCATTTACAGATTACAGTTACTCTGTTACTTATTTTCTAGAGTGTTGTGTCTGCATTCTGTAAGCTTGCTGTGCTGAAAATCATATATGATCAGTGAGTATAAAGTATTTGACATCATCATCATCTTAACCTCAGACACTACAAATTGTGAATGCTGCAAACTACTTAGCATGCTAACATCAGCTAACATCTCATTATACAGTCATTAATTTGTGAGGGCAAAAATAAATGTGGCATAATTAGTCAGTTGAAGGATACAGCCCCTGAACAATGACTTGTACCAGACTACTTGACCTCAGAGGCCTAATTTTTAAACATTAAACATTTTAAAAGCCATTTTTAAAATATATTTTTGTTTAACAGAGAACGATTAACCCAGAAATAAATGATGCAATAAATAAAACTAATAATTAACCAGAACATTGAGAAAATATAGAAAATAGAACCTATGATGCATGTTTTATTTATTTATTTCTGAGATAAATATCTATGCTGCTGGTTGGAATGGATGACTGGTCAAAACAGAATTTCTAGCAATTACTGTAACTTGCTTTTGATATACATATTTCATCCATCATTCTAATTCTACCAAAGTAGTTTTCTGCTATTTGTCATGCGTTTGCAGTGTACCTCTATCGCTTATGTATGCAAGCTGTATACAGTCATGTGTTTCCTCTGTCAGCGCCTGTCAAAGCCATGACCATTGTTGGCTTATGGCTCAATGTGATCAATATTTGTCAAGAATAACAAAACATCATTAGAATTTATAACTATGGATAATTTATTAGCTTTGTTTGCAGGGTAATGTACACTGCATGGCTGTCATCATGGTGAACAAAGAATATTTAGGCTCATAGACTTGTGTTGGGCACCATCTCTGTCTCTCACTGATCCTTTTGACTTATAGGACCTGGTCTGGTTACTCATTAAGGAAGGTGGATATTAAGCCCGTGCTCCTTGATCTCTTTGATCATACTTTCTTGTCTTCAGTGCAGGAGGTTGCTAGTACGATCCTCAATGGAGGCAGAGGCTGATGTAAGACAATGGTAAGACACTTTACCCATGTTGCCCACACCAGTGAAGGGCTGGTTGCAACAGGAAGGGCATCTGGCATAAAAATCTGCCACTGTGATGGTCTCTGGTGGAAAAGTGAGCAGCTGGAAGAGAAAAAATGAATTAACAATATAACATCCTCACTACACTAATTAAAAGGTTAAAAAGGTACATAACCACGCCTAGCTTGAAGTTGAGTTATCTTATGCTATTTATAATTTGACTCTTTCATATTTACAAGCCCCCTGCCCCTGATTTTAGAAATAAACAACACCTTTGGTCTCTTGCTCTTTTGTCTGTTTTACATGACATTCACAATAGAAAATAAAAGACAAGAATAGTGACAGCCAAGAAATACAGCTGCTGCTTGCAAGTGTGCCAAGATGTGTTATTTAGTCAAATCCTGCACTTTGCATATTGTAG